AGAAAGTATGCGGGATTTAAGTATATCAGCATTATAGATAAGACCTGTCTTAGCGGTAGAAACAAATGTCTTTAAAAGGCTAAAAATTATAAGCGAAGGTCTCATGTCTTAGAGGTTTCAGAACAAAAGATAAGCTCTAATGCTTTCTCTTGTATTCTTTGCAACAAATTTCTGTACATCTTTGCAAAGATTTGAAGTTATTCAGGGTTCCTTCACATCCTCCATATTTGTATTGAATACAGGTGTCTGTTTCAGCATTGTATCCGTAGCGGGCTTCTGTACCGTTACATGGTCCTTGCTCTCTTGGAGAAAGACAGAAGTCCATAGGGTCCTGAAATTATTTAATAACTTTTGCGTTTCTGAATGTTAGTTTACCTGACAACAAATTGAGACATTATACTCGCTGCTCATATGGCAAATGAATCCTTCAGGACAACCCTTATCAATTCCGCAGGAAATAACTTGTTGGTCTTCAATGAGAGGGATACCGTGTGGGCAATAGTTTCTGTATACTGTAAATATGACTTTGGCAAATATAATGTCTCTATTTCAGATACCTGGACAGGTAGTTTCACATGTTCTCTGACTGACGAAGTTATTTTCACTTCCTCCAGTTCCACCATAATTGAAAGGAGCACATCTTCAATTATGGACGAATGTTGTTATGTATGCACATTGTACCTGTTCTGTTTCTTGTCGAAGAACCATCGGGGCAAGTCATCGTTTCCTATTCCTTCGATGAGTGGTTGATCACAAGGATCCACATTTCGTTTTGGGCAACAAACAGTGTTCAATGGTGAGCCACCTACATGACAGTAGAAACCAGATGGACAGCTGTTGAGCTATAATTTCTTGTTTTTATACAAGCGTTTTAAAAATCATCAAACCAGTTGGGCTCCGCTACATTGAACCATGTCACCACTCTTGTCGGTGTATGGGTTCCCAAATCCGCAAGGGTTCAACTCCTTGCAAGATTGACGACAAGCTTGTTTTGTCAAGAAATTGTTTGAGTTTCCTTTCATTCCCTTGTATACAAATGGACGGCACATCTGATAAAAGAAATATATACATATATCTATTTCCTTGAATAATTTGCTTACTTGAATTCCACCATCATAGAACCAACGTTCCAGGCTATAACTTCCTTCACCTGTTTCCAGAGGAAGATCACATGGACGACGAGCTATAAAAATGATCGTACGCTTATGAAAAAGTTGTATGATATCTCTGCATGAAAAGATATATCACGAAAACATACTTCCTGGGCAACAGTTCGTAGTTTCAGGAGTTGCTCCTACGTGACACCAGAAGCCATTTGCGCAGCTTTCTTCACCTCCACAAATCACTGGTTCTTTTGAAGAAGTCATGAGTGGTTCTCCTAGTTTGCATGGGTTTGGTACAACAGGACAGACAAGTTCACAATCTTCCATTGATAAGAAATTGTTCGCATTTCCTTTAGTTCCTTGATAAGCGAACTCGCGACATCTCTTGACATCCTTATCGAAATAGAATCTTGTAAGAGCTAAACCACCAGCTCCACTTGATAGCTCTTGGTCACATGGATCGCCATCTGTAAAATTTAAATAGTTTCAATATTTAATGCTTCCGATGAATACTTTTGGGACAGCAGTAGTTCAGTTTATCATCGACTCCAATGTGGCAGAAGTGAGTTGATGGGCAACGCTCGCTTGGGCTACATATCTAAATGAAATAGCCTTAATAAACTTGAAGAAGTAAACAAAAACCTTAGGTTGGGAGCCGATCAAAAGTGGTTTTCCGGTAGAGCAAGGATTTTCATACACAGGACAAACAGCCATGCAATCGTCCAATGTCAGGAACATATTCTGAATCATCATTAATATGCCGCTTGTTTCAACCGAATTACCTGATTTCCTCCTTCTCCGCTGTAGATAAACTTCACACATTTTTTCTGAGAGGCAATGAAATGCCAACGAGTTAAATGAGAATTTCCAGTTCCTCTTTCCATTGGTAGATCACAGGTGTTTGAAACTTAAGCATGATATTCTTTCACTCAACTACTTGGATATAATTTTTACCTGCAGAACAACACACAGTAGAATCTGGAGTGATTCCAACGTGACACCAATGAGTATTTGGACAAGGTGAAGTTGGAGAGCAAAGTCTTGGTTGATTGTCAGGAGTCATAAGCATCTCGCTTCCAGAACCACATGGAGATTTGCATTCGCCTGAAGACATACTAGAATCTATCACTGACGCGTGAATCTTACGTTTGCATTTATTTTCGCATTCCTCTTTGGATAAGAAATTGTTTTGGTTTCCTTTAGTTCCTTTATATGTGAATTGCTTACAAGTTTTTCCGCATGATTTATCGTTTGGATCAGCATACCATCTGAGAATTTATAAATTAAGAGTTGAGAAAGAATAGGTTACCTTGTTAAGTTAGCAGAGCCTTCTCCAGCAAGAATTGGCTGAGTACAAGCATCTGTAGAGACAGTTGGACAACAAACAGTGGTGTCTGGTGTGGCTCCAACGTGACACCACTGAGATGAACCACATACGCTTGCGCTGCTTGAACATTCTTGTTTATGAGCCACATTCAGAGGATTTGGGCAAGGATTAGTCCATTCTATATTATATGTATTATCATCACTTCTATGAACAGTATCTTACTTTGGCAGGTGTCTTGGCACTGTTTAACGGTCAAAAAGTTGTTTTCGTTTCCGCGAAGCCCTTTGTACACGAATTCAGTACATCTCTTAGAGAAAGTGTTATAGTAGAATCTGAAGTGCTCATATTGATAAGGAAATAATATGAATTTGTCCTATTTACCTTTTAAGTAAAGATTTTCCTTGGCCAACATTAAGTGCCAACAAACATGGGTCACTAACTATAAGGAAATGCGTTCATAATCTTTTTTGTCAATCGTCTCTTCATTTAAAGACAATACGAATAAATATTAAGCCAAGTTAAGATTTGTGCGCCTGCGGTTACTCAAATACTATGAAATCACAAGTTGTGATTGAAAGCTTAGTTAAAGGCTTTTGTGAGAAAAAAAAGAAAACTTGGCTATTTCTCTGACGTGGTCCTTTTGTGTAAATAAAGATGTGATAGAACTTACTTCCGCTGGACTCGCAGCAAGCTGTCACATCGGGATTCTCACCAACATGACAATAATAATTTTTTGGGCACATGGAATCATCATTAGGACCGCAGAAGATCAGAGTATTGTTCTGATGCTTAGCTGGTTGATTGAATCTGCAGGGATTGGCATTATCCACAACAACAGCTGAATCATTATTATACTTATATAGCTTGTACTTAAAGAATTACCGCTTTCACATGCATCTTGACATTGTACCTTAGCAACGAAGTTGTTCTGATTTCCTCTGATTCCTTTGTATAAGAAACTTAAAGAAAAGAAATGTGAAACATTAAGATACTTAAGATGGACATACCGTTTACATAAACGAGTCTGTTTGTCGAAATACCATCTAGCAACTAGTTCATTTCCTTCGCCCACATCACGTCTTTGCTCACAACGATTAACTATGATATTCAAATTTGAGCCGACTGATCCTTCAAACTGTTTGTACCTGGTTCTGTTTTTGGACAACAAGCTGTTGTTGCAAATGAAGCACCAGTGTGACACCAATACTCTTCAGGACATCCTCCATTTGGCTGGTTAAGGTAGTTACACGAAATTGGAGTTTCAAATTCATTCAGAAGAGCTCTTCCTGTTGGACAGGGATTGAAGAATTCTTAATATTCAGAGATATATTTGGTCTGATTAAATGCGAGAAATACTTGGCTTCTGTGTTTGCTTACGCTCGGGTCGCATGAAGCGAGTCGTGCTTGGGGTTGTTCCTTCAGTTTGTAATGTTTCCGCTGTTCTCTCTACAAGGCAAAAACCACAAATAGAGAATAGAATGGAAAAGTTATACCGGCTGAAGTTGTTGATGGTGTTGTTGAGCTTGTTGTGGAAGGAGTTTGTGTGGTTGAATATGTTGTAGTTGTTGTTGTGGATGGGACTGTAGAAGGTACAGTAGTTGTGGAAGGCACAGTTGTAGATTCTGGTGGCGGTGTAGGTAAAGTAGAGGTTACCTAAAAGAATTTTATATTATAAGAAAGTAGAAAGAATATCATACTACTGGAGGTGGATAAGTTGCTACTGGTTGAATTGGCAGAGGGACATACGGCTTAGTCTGGATAGTTTTCACTTGGGGTCGAACAACGTTCACTACAGGTACTGTAAAGCGCTGTGGAAACATTTTCAAGCAGAACACATACCGACAGGCCTATAATTCCAGCGATATCTTGTCTGCTGATTACACTTATTGTTGCAATTAGTTCTAACAGGGTAATAGAGTTGTCGTTGTTGTGGTTGCTGAACTCTCTGTTGGGGTTGTTGAACAACAATCTTCTGAGTTGGCGTCTGTTGAACGGGGCGATAGTACACCTAATAAGAAATTAGAGTGCTGGAGATGTTTTCTGATTACCTGTGACAGTGCTATAGTGAAGCATAACGAAAATAAAAGGAGTCGCATTCCAAACTGAAAAAGAGAAAAATTGCAACGTTAATAGAGAAGAGTTTAGAGTATATTTAAAAGTGGGAATATCTTGAATGCTATGAATTAATTGAGACGATTACGGATAACGCACGAGGTCGTCATTTCACTCGAATGACAGTCGCCGTTTTGAACGGTCATACGAAGTCGGAATGGTCGTTTAACTGACCGGAAGTGTAAATATGAACAAGTCAAGAGTTTGAGCCGAAGGTGGCTAAGTCGATGAAAAGGGAGGAGGAGCTAAGGATGATCGAAAAAAGGAGAGAAAAAAACCGGAAGCAGTAGTGACTTACGTACAAGGTTAGTTCAAAAGATAATAGAAAGAGGAGAGAAGTAGGCGGACAGGCTTAGAGACAACTTTTAGAAATGGTAAAGGATTTCGAAACTGTCAATGAACTGTCTTGACGTGGGAACTTGAAAAAAAAAGAGTTTGTCAAATGATGATAAACACAATTACAACGTTTGTCATTTCCCTCTACAGTCATGAGCTTCACGAGAGTGTTGAAACTTGAAAGTTGTACTCGATGAGTACATAACAGCTTGTGCTTTTAGCCGTTAAGCTTAAAAGTGTTAACCATATATGTATAGTGGTTATACATTTGTTAAACAAGAAAAACTTGGTTCCTGCTATGGTGCTGCTGGCTCTATCGGTTGTGCCAAGGAAGATCTCAAAATGTTATTCGTCAGTATGTGCACCACAGCATCCTTTCGGTAGTAGTGAGCATTACATGATGAGTTGCGCGTAATGAGAAAATATAGAAATGTCATATTTTCAAGTTTTCAACTCCGGTCATACTCTCAAGATGGCCAGTGGGTACTCATCTCACTTACTTCACCTGTTTAACATTCAATGAGTCAACTTTTTTTTCTTTACTTTGCCCTATCCTTATTTGATCCACACGCCATTTTTCTGTAAACTTCTCAATCAAATAAAGAGAAAAGAGAAGAAAAAGGTGGTCAAGCTGAGCAAAGTTGAAGTAAATGGACAACGGACACACGCCGTCTATCATTTTCTTCTCTTTTCCTTCTCGTCACGCAATTGCAAAAGTCTGTTTTCCTAAATGAGAGAAAATGGAAACGCAAGAGAATATCTCTCATGTGCGGCCATATCTCTCCGACTCGTACTAAGTGTACTATCTTTATTATATTTACATTAAATGACTTGGCTCTAACTGACACGTGAATTGTCTTGTTTCACATAATTTTTCAAAAACCTTTTCTCTTCCTCTCAGAAAAGAGAGATCACAACTTTGTTCTAATAAATGAACTTCCGAGACTGCATTATTTACGGTCGCAAGCCTTATCCTTCTTGTATCGCAGTGACATTCAACACTTTGACAGACTGCACTATTAATAGTTATGCTTTAAAGAAAGCAATTTTCTCCCTTTGGTTAACGAGAAAGTGAAGCAGTTGAACGTGTATGATCAGTTTCCTCAAGATGCTGACTGCCCAACAACAAATTGTGCAACAGCTCCTTTATACGACAAACTGCAAAACCGCTCCGGACTCACGAGATATGTTAGTGACGTTGACTGGACTAAACGTGCAGTGCAGCAAAAATGAGATTCACGACTGGAAAGTACGAACTTTACCGATTGCTAATGATTATCAGTTGTTTTCATTCCATTCAGAGCAGAGACTGAAGTAATTATAACCGAATTAGATGAGAGTGAAGCAACTAAGCAAACGATTTTTGCTCAACTTTATTGAGAAATTCCTATGAGGCTGAGCTCGTAATGCCTGACTGCATAGATGGAAATGTCCATTCATTAACATCCTCAAACGTCGACAAAGTCAATCGTAACCGAGAAAAGTTAAGAACTTGACCCATATGAAAGAAGTGATAACTCAATTAGCTAAACTATAAGGCGGAACTATGCTAAAATACTAACAAACTGATCGTGGAAAAGAAGAAAAGTTCAAATTTATATCTTTCTCAGGACCTGAAACGAATTGCTATGGCAGTCAATGTACAGTGATTTGGGCAACAATTTCGAAGACAATAAATGCGCAGGTAATTTTTACCAATCGACTATTGCTGTTGGCTCGCAGTAGAGCTGTGAATTCCACTAATTGCAGTCTCGTGCGACGATGATGCTTTCATTTTATCTGTTCTCATATCTACGATAGATTCAGAGGATATTTTGATTCCCAAAGCACCACATATATTCTCTTTCACTCCACTGCGAATGGTCTGATTGAAAAACAAGTAAATTAACGCTTGTAGACCTATAACAGAACGTTGTGAAAGTCTTATCCCTCGTACCAACCTATGGAGTATTGATATCCCACGAAAACGATTTCCGGCAGAGAAGTGAATTTCGGGAAAACAACGTAAATCGCATAAGTGATAGAGAAAAAGAAATTAAAACCACACATCAGAGAGGCTTGTATGAAAACCTATCAACATTAAGATAGAAAGTATATAAGGAACCTGATGTTGCAGACGGATATGATGAGCAGTTATTTCAGGCAGTAGGCGAATATTTTTATATGAGATTACACAGAAATATCCATAAAGGAGGAATGTAAATACAACAACTCCAAAATTATTGACAATCAAAAGAGTGCTTCGAAACTGAAACAGACTAGGGCATCAAATTTGATAGATTTGAAGTTCACAACCTCGTAATCTACTTTACTTCTTATGAATAAAGGATCAGGAAGCATAGTTCCTCCCAAATTAGAATAGACTACCGGTGAATTACAGAAGAAGAAAGATAGCGAATACAGGAACGAAATTAAACAGCCGAAGTAAGTGCGGTGAGGAGAAAAAAACCACTCGATTGTCGAGCGTCTGTTTTTGATTTATCTTACATATGAAACGAGAGCTACAAACCTGAATTTAAGAATTTCTAGCATCCGATTGAAAGCCAAATACAGACAGAGATAGGAAGCACCTGCCCAACACACTTAAGTTACAGTTCATTAAATATTAATATTTCATTGACTTACTTGCATAAACACACCCTAAGAAAAAATTTATATTGGGCATGTCACAGAAATCTACTCCAAAAGTTGTTGTGTAAGCTGAAACAAAGTCTATGCACCGAACAACTTCCGTCTTACCATTTACTATGTCATGAATGATCACTGTGGTGATTTCATATAGTCCGATGAAAAACATAATTTTATAACAGGCTTTGCAAAAAATCTTAGGGTTTAGCATGACTTGAAGACATAAGGCATATATCACCTAAACCAAAACGATAGAATAAGTTTCAAAAGGAAACTTACAACAATGACAACCCCAAAGAGTAAAGCCGTGAACCCTCGTAGAGGTCTACGAATAGCATGAGAAGCCTCGATATCTTTTTCGGTTAGAATGCTGGAACAAATCGGAGGTGATTACTAGATATTATTCTACCTGCAGTTGTACAGAGAAATATCTGTAATAGAAGTGTGAGTGAAGTAGATATCCATTGTTCGGAGCTGGTATGATGAAGAAGATTGTCTGTTTATCTGTCTAAGGCGGACACATGGTGCAAAACAATTTTTTTTTCTTTGAACTAAAAGATCGTCGCGCAGAACTTTTCATCTGAAAATAATAACCCTTTGGGAATAAGTTCAATCGCTCTGTCAGGCTCAATATTAGATAAAAATTCATTCTCAGCATTTTCAAAACAAGTCGAACGGAATATAAAGAATTATTGTTCTCATTAAAAAAGCAATTACATTGTAATGAAAGTCCATCTACAATCTCTGTTTCGATTCCCAAAACGGTAATCTCAGTTTAAATAAGTAGCATACCGCCACAAATAATTATATAATTAATCAAACAGTGGCAATCTTTTCATTTGAACGTCGGTACGTGAACTAGATTTGTCTGCTCCTTATGTTTTCATACTGTACAATACTGGAAACGTAAAGATGTAGTGTGGGAGTCCCTGCTCCATAGGTTGGACACAGTCCCACCGTAGAAGTCAAGTGATATGTCAAAGGGTTAAGATATTTCAAGTTAAACGAGGTTTACTTTCCATGACAGATATCACGTGAACTGCAGGTTGACTCGATTCATTAGTTTTTTCGACTTTCGTTCTCATATCTAATCCTTGTTTCCGTTCAATCTTCAGAAGAGGATATATAATATCCTTAACTCCATTCAGGATAGTCTGATTGCAAATCAAGTAGATAAGAGCTTGGAGTCCTATGGAGGAAAATAAAAATATCAAATTATATTGAAAACCTGATGTGAATTGATAGATGAAGAAAGCTATTTTGGTAACTATGATGAAATCATCCAGGAACAAGACAGATGCGTATGTTACAGAACAGATGAAATTGAAACCACACATCAAAGTTGTTTGTATGAATAACTAGGAAGGATGTGAGCGATCAGAAAATATTGAGAACCTGGTGTTGCAGACGATTATGACTATCCTTGACACCAAGTTTCTTGATCTTTTTGTACATAATTGCACAAAATAATCCGTACAAAACAGTGGTTATGACTACAACTCCATAGTTGTTCGCTATCAAGAAAGTTTCTCTTAGCTGAAAAGAGCTACCAGATCTATGAATATAAAAGCTGGTACCTCGAAACCGGGAGGAAATTCCATGTCGAGAGGATTCGGGACTGGTGTTGCCTCCACGTTTGAATAGACTACTGGCGAGTTAAAGAAGCAACCGTACAAAGAGTATAAAAACCCTATTAAACAACCTATCATCGTCCGATAGGGGGAAAAGAAGAAATCAATAGTTTCACGCCTAAACTGTTGTATGTACAGGAGGCACGCTCTTAGATAATTACCTCAATTTTAGAGCTTCCAATATTCTATTGAACGCAAGGTAAAGACAAAAGTAACAAACACCTGTCCAGGACACTGAATTAAAGTTTTGAAACAAACAGAGTACCCATAACTAACTAATATGAAGGGAGCCAATAGTGTAGAATAGATTAGGAGCATCACAAAACGCCAAACCAAAAGTTAAGCTGTAACCTAAAAAAAATAATGATTGGATAGATATATATAGCACAATAACATATGATGAAATTGTTCAGAATAATGACACCAATGTCATACAGTCCGACGACAAACATAATTTTATAACAAGATTTCCTGATTATAGCCGGTTGCAGCATCACTCGTAGACAGAGTATGTATATGATCTTTATGAATGGAAACTGATGAGGAGTCGAAGAAACAAAAAAAAATACTGTCATAGGGAATCCAATGATGAAACCTGTAATCCCACGCAGAGGATGACGTATAGCATTTATGCTGGCAAGATCTTCTTTAGACAAAGAACTAATTGAAAATAAATAATCAAAGTGAAGATTCTCTCACCTGCAGTTGTAGAACGGTAATTCTGTTATAGAACGGTGTTGAAGATATACATCCATTGAAAGGAGGATATCACACACCGGCAAAACTTGGGCTTATATAAGCACCCTAGTCATAAGATGAATATATAATTCGTTCTAATAACATGTTAGTACAGGACATCATTGTTTATACTTGTGCCGAGAATAAATCTGCGTTCGAACTGAACCAAAAAACGACTTATTCGACAAAATTAATCGTACAACGATTAATAATCAACTAACGATTAATACTTAACAAAAGCCAAGAAATATGTAGTCGTAATAAATCTAAATTAGTCGAATAATTAGTCGATTAACTCAAAAATTAGTCGTTTTGGTCGAGAGCAACTAACTCAAATTTTCAAAACTAATCGTTAGTTGCTTTTAATCGAAAGCTATTATTTGCCCAAGTATATCATTGTTCTTTTAATACGCAATCTATAGGATCTGAGAACGATAAGTTCAGATAGTTGTACCTTGGAAACGTACTTTTGGAAGAAAGTACGCATCTGTCCCACTCGCAATATTGTCCAAATATTCTTTTAAAATACAGACAGCCCAATTCCCCACATCTGTTTTGTACATACATACAACGTTTAAGAAAATATTTTAAAGTTTATCAACAATAAGTATTTGAAAAATAAAACTCTGGAATCGAATTATGGCTTTTAAAGCAATACTTAACAATCTATTATACTATTAAAACTTAAAGCACAGAAGTATCACAGATATGACATAGTTAATGGAAAGTGAATAGAATACGTTAAATTACAAAGTACATACAGTTATGCGAATTCTCAGCTTATGTTTTTCCTCTTCTCTTCATGACTTCGTCTTTTTGGTTTGACGTGAAGTCCAACATTGTCATGATAGCCTTCAATATTGAATGAAACTCTCGAAATAATCAAAAGGAAACCTGTAGATGCTCTCTCGAATCTCCTTTGTTTAACAGAAAGTAATAGAAGGCATCATGAAGAAATTTCAAAACGATACGATCTTGCGATATCTTATCGATGTCTTTCTCCTGAAGATTTCAAATATGGCTCATCAACAGTGCTCTAAAGCTATATTACCTCCGCGCCTTGAACTCCATGCTCCACAGCCTCCTGTCCTTTTTTGAACATAACGAGATACATCTCACTTCTAGTTATTTAAAATATTGTTTACAATCTCGCAAGAAACAAACCTCTCTTGCTCCATTTCTTGAATCTTTCTTTCATACATATCGTTCTGTTGCCTACTGAAATTCAACTGTTCTTCCAGATAAATTTCAGATGGGTTTGGAGGTGAGGGTAAGTCTTGTAACTGAAAAAGCTTGCTTGTATAACATTCGAAAGAAAGGGTTGAGACCTCTTGTACTTTGCGAAGTAGCATCTCAACTTGTTGTCGGAGAACCTCTTTTTCTTCTTCAATTCTGTTCAAACGTTCAACATCAATACCACTTCGATATCCCGCTTTCTGTTCCAGTGCCAGAGTCTTAAAATAAACGAAAAAATAAGAATCCGTTACATGGGAAACAAACTTTTTGTTTGAGATCATTCATTTGGTCATTGAGCGATTTGTTCTCGCGTGTCAACTTGCCAACTTTCTCACGAAGTGATATGACGCGAGAATTTGTTCGGTTCATATCGTCCTCAGGAGTGTCTTGAGATATTGTAATATCATTAACAGAAGGATAAGAAGCATTCAAGTTGAATCGATTTGACGTTGATGGTTCATGCCAGGATTGTGACATGGAGTCCGGTAAAGGTGGCCTGTAGATAATTACTTTTATTCAGCATCTCGGGAAAAAGCATTACTTCGATCTTAAAATAGCTATCCCTGCTTCCTGCTGAAGAGAAGTCATCGAAGATGATAAAGATTGCGGTGCTGTTGCATAGTAAGACATGCTCTGAATAAATGGAATTCAAACTCATGTCTATTTCAATATGCATTTAATTACCTTTCTTCGAGTAGATCGCCGTTGTTCCTTAGCTTCAAGCTCTTCTCTAGATGCAATTACTTTCCGCCGAGGACCACTATGTGATCTCGTACGAGCTGTACCTACACTTTGTTCTTGACTGCGCCGAGTGGATAAAATAGGAGTTTGGATAGTGCAAGCGACAGCCTCTCTGGTAGAGCCTTTTCTGAACGCTGCTGGACTCTCATGAACAATTATCTTTTCCTTTCTTTAAATAGTGATAGTTTGTGATATAAAACTCGATAATGCCTCACCTAGGTTTTGAATCGTATAAAGATGCTACACTCCGTGCCGATTTTGGTGAAAAGTAGACTGAAGATGAACCAAAGCTTGTGGGTGACCTTAATTATAATGATTAAATTGAATGGAAACTCTTGCATACATTGGCTGCTCGGTACAGGAACGCAAATCTGATTGAAGAGTCTGACATCGCAAGAGCTCCATTTCTCCTCGCATCATTGCTAATTGAATTTTTAGTTCACGCCTCTCTTCTTGAGCACGCTTATAACCAGTTCTCATAGAGTTCAATTCTCTGAACATAGTCCCGCATTTTTCTTTCCATCTTCTTGCTTCAAGATGGTCTGGCTCAGTGAAGAGATCAACAACGCTCCGACTTCTAACTAATCTTCCATCGTTACCAATAGCCTCATTGTCATCATTAACTTTGCGGGCATTAGGCTCTCTTCGGAAAACTTCGAGTTCTGCTGTGGCTGATCTCAAATCTCGTGATAGTCTATCGATTCGCAGCTTCAAAAAAACATTTTTTAAATTCATCAATCATAGTAGTATACCTTCATAGAGTCTCTCTCCTGTCGTGACCTTTTCAGTTCTCGAGCAAGTTGTAATTTTTCATCAGTATCCCATTCCATCATAACAGTGTCCAAAACTTCCTGAAATATTTCTACGTATTATATGATTACATGTTGGAATTTGTGTAAAATAATGAATTTAAGCTCAGGATTACGCTTCAAAGTTTGATCAGAACAGAACTACTCAGCTTCACTTAACATGTGAAAGAGTAGATCCAATTGACCGACTGACAGTTTAGGGAAAAGTGTTTAGAAACGACTACTAGCTAAGAGAGAAATGTCATGAAATTTTCATGATTGTAACCGTTAATTGGGATAGGTATAAACGATAAGACCTTTGTTAGAATCGAGACTTCTATATGTCAACTATCACCAGCACCCCATGAGAAAAAAATGATATGAAATAACTCAAACTATATGCACACTATAAGGTACCTAGCCCTGAAGACTGTGCGTGCCTTTAAAGAGATTCGGCAACGCTCTGAAACAATGTAATAGCATAGTGTGAAAGATATGAAACATAATAATGAATGTAATACTGTTCCAGACAAACCACATGCTGAGAAGGGACAATGATTGGAGAAACTAAGAACTTCAAGAAAATAAAGTTAGATGGATATCAAAATTACTTTTTAAAAAAAAGAGTCTAGAAATGACGAAAAGTAATTGAATGCAACCGTGCTGTGAGGAAATGAAAACTACTAGCTCACACTCTGTCAATCATGTTACATCTTTACGGAAATTAGAACGAATTTGGAGCTATATTGTAAATGTGGATTGTGTTATTAGTATCGCTCGAATATATATGAAGATAAATTATATCAAACTAACGCCATTCCGCTTACCGAATGTAAAGGCTCTTCAGAGTTCATAACGCGACTAGGAGATCTTGTTCGAGAAGTTCTAACCTTTTCCCGACCTTCATCTTCTTCCCAATTATTCAATATCTGTTCAAGATCAGATTTAACCTAAAACATGAGAAATATTCTATTAAAATATGAAATTATTGCAAACCATGCTCAAGTCATCAGCCAGTGTAGCAAATGCCGGAGATAACATGGAAGCCGTTACTTTGCTTGTTGTTGAAGTACTCGCTGTAGCTGTAGTCTCTTCATTATTGTCTTTATTCTGACTGAGTTCTCTGTAAACAGTAAATTAAGACACCAGGTAGCCTGGAATATGGATACTTGCTGACTAGAACGCTCTCATCAATAATTTTTGACATTTCATCATCTAGAACAAGCTCAGGTTCAGAATAAGTTTTCCTTAGCGCAATATGATCGTCTTCCATCAAGCTATCACGAGAAGTATTGGGCATTATCGAAGAGGTCGCAGTTGAAGTAGTAACTCGTCCAGACGTAGTACTAACAACTTCTAGTTGTTTCTGAAGTTGCTCATTGTCTTGTTCTAGATTTTGAATTCGAGTTTTGAGCCATTTCTTTTCAGATTCGTATCGACCAATTTCCTTTAATTTATATTATTATTGTTGTTGAAACGTTGAATTAACCTGATCTAATTCACGACGTACATTCTCGAACTCGTTAGCAATACGTTGAATTCTATCTCGCTCTTTCCGTACAAGTGATTCTTTCTCATCTTCAGCTTGCATCAACTGTAATCGAAGTTGTTTTTTTGTTTTCTAACATCATAAATGCCTTTTCGCGCAGATCAGCATTTCGAGATTGAAGAGCTTTCACTTCCTCTTTGTCTGAATCTGTCGCCACGGGAATTTCTTCATTTTTCGGTACTACACAAGCTATTCTGCGCCTAGTTGTACTGCGCCCGTCAGTCTGAAAATGAAAAGTAAAGAGCAAAAGTATCGCAACCATACCTTCTCTTGGATTGTAGTTACAAGTTTCTGCTGTAGTATATGTACTTGTCTGCGAGTTGTCTGAAGTTCCCCTTGACACAACTTCAATCTTTCTTCAGTTTCATTAAAAAGATCACCCTGAGTTAAGTTTTGTTTTGTGAAAAGATAGTGAGACGTATACTTACTTTCTCAATTAATGTTGATTTGCTTTTTGTTATCGGCCGACAAGCAACGTACTTACTGACTTGTCTGGGTCTAGCTTCTACTTCAGCATCACGTTGAGATTTAGTCAGTTGTTTATGCAAAGTAGTAACGTGATCAATACTGCTTGTGAGTTTCTGTTCTAATTCAGCTTTTTCCAACTTCATTCTCAGTTTCTGTTCTTCTTTGTCTCGTTGAAGCAGAATTATCTCATCCTGAACCTCTTTTTAGATGAACTATAATACGGTATCTGACCTTGGATTTGTTTAGTTGATCTTCGACGCGTTGAACTTTGTTTTGCCAATACTCGGATTGTTCTCGGTACTTTTTCAAAGATTCGGCTAAAGTTGTTTCTAAACCATCTTCGTACTCTTCTTTCTGTTCGCGGAATTTAAGTTCCACTTCACTACGTTCCTGAAGAAAAGAGTTCAGTTACAGTATGTTTCGATGCCATTCTACCTTGTTCAACTCATCAATGCGCATTTCTAGTATAGGAACTCTCTCTGCAACCTCAGATATTTCACTCAGGGATCTGTAATGAAGATTCTCGATCAACCAAAGATGAGATTCAAACTTACTTTTTGTAAACTTCACGTTCTTTCTGATGCTCCTCTATATCATGTCGCTGTTGCCGTCTAATATCCTCTAACTGCTTGGACAGAACGTCAACAAGTTCAGTTTTTGTAAGTAGAATCTTCTCTATTTCCTCGAAACGATCATGCAAATCTGAACGGTTCGCAGTGAACTCATTATTTAGTTCCTGAATTGGCTACGTCAAAAAACAAATCAAAGGGCACATCTTAACCTCAAGTTTGCGCTTGGTTGATTGGAACTCTGTTTCATGCTTCGAAAGTGATTCAGCTGTTAGTTCGGTTTGCATCTTCTTGCATACCATAACAGAATACCTCAAAAAATCAAGCATTAATTATATGCACTGTTTATGGAATTACCTGGGGTCGTTAAAACCTTTCCTCCAGTTCTCATAACTTTCATCACTTATTACAAGTTCATGTTCCATTAAAGCGTTTCGATACACCTAAAAACTTAAACTTAGGAAGCAATGATAAAATATGCTCAAAAAGTTCGCAGTCAGCAGGATTCGAACCTACGCGGGCAGAGCCCAATTGATTTCTAGTCAATCTCCTTAACCACTCGGACATGACTGCTTATCAAAAACCGTGGAATTAACAAGCAAAATATGATTCATAATTTTTTTGATTCTCGTGTCAAATTGCTGTTTGAAACGTTTCTATCCCGCAGTCAAAACAGCAGTATAGAACGGAGAAGCAGAATATTGCAACTCGAGCTGTATATACAGAACAAAAAGAATTAACTCACTTGTATACGTTCTTCCATGAACGAAATAGCTTTTTTCATAGTTTCCTTATCATTCTGTAAAGATTTGAATTGACATACTCATGAAGAAATGAACCTGAAGCCTAGAATTAACTAGGTTCGCTGCTTCCACTTCGGCTCGTTTGGTTTCTGTTTCCTCCTCTGCTCCCTTGAGCAAACCTTCAAGGCGAGCTCTGAACGCAAAAGATTTTATAGTAAGTATTATTCGAAGAGATGTGCTCACTTAGAATCCAACAAAGCTTCAACCTCTTTCCGCAGAGCGCTCACATCTTCCTCAAGCTCCTGTATTCTGGTGTTAGCCTCTTTCATCTTAAAATTTTCATTAATAAAGATAGTGTATACAAAATAAACCACCGTGTCTAGAAGTTTGTTATTTTCTTCTATCAAACTTTTTTTCCGATCAGCACATGCTGCTAAAACACATTCCGTAGTGGACGTTGTAACAGACATATGAGGACTATGCTGAGAAATTAGATGTTGTGAGCTGAAAGATCAATATTAAAACGAATAAATATCTTTATATAAGAGAAATCCTTCTGAACCGGTGAAACTTACTTTAATGTGACGTTATCAGCACCATTATCATTGAAGGAAGATACAGCCGAAGAAGGTATAACAGTTGTCTAAAAACACAATTGAGAAAATCGGAAAGGGATCCTGCATTAATAACCCCTGAAATTTTCCTGGTTATGTTCACTTCACTCCTAGCTGTTTCTATATCGTTGCGGTAAGCTTTCTCCAAACTAGAATACTTAAGAAGTTGGTCTTTAAGTACAATTTCCAATTGCGCAGCCTTGTTGCGCCAAATAAACGCTTCATTCTGATACGCCTGCAATTCGATATACTGAGATTCACACGAAGCATTAAAGAGTCTCTTTTAGAGAAATAATTTCCCACTTGCATATGGTTCAAAGCTTCTTGACTCAAATACATCGGATTCCCGCTTATCTTAGAGTCCATGGAAATACTCATCGGCGACGCGTGCATTAGCGGCGATGCTTGCGATAGCATAGGAATGCTTCTCTGTAGTACATATTTATTCATCTGTTAAAAATATAACAAGCTACCCTCTCAGGCAAACTGCCAACTGGTGAAAGTGGATTAACAGCTGTCGGAGAAGAAGGAAGAGAAGGTGATTGAACTGAATATATTTAAAATGAATTTAAATGCTTTCTTCCCAACCATATAGTGCTGAAGTAGATGGATCTGTTGGATCTGTTGGGCTTTGCGGGCCAGCTCCAGGAGTATGTGAACCAAGGTCGTAGTTCTGCAAAGTGTGTTTAATTCACTTGGAACATTAGAAAAATAACATGAGAGGCCCCGTGGCCTAATGGATAAGGCGTCGGTCTCCTAAACCGAAGATTGAAGGTTCGAGTCCTTCCTGGGTCGATAATTTTTATTATTAACATATAATCAATAAAAGTGAAGAATATTTGTTTTTAATGTTGTTTAGCCTTTTTAAACAATAAGCGAAATCGTTTTATCGATTACTCATCGAGTACCTCGTGAATTCAATTTCATGGATTCTTTCATTCAAAATATATCAAAAACTGTTTTCATAATGCATACGTATGCATTTGTATCTATTAACAAAAATTATCAAACTGATACCTGTATATCGTCAGTTAGAGTTGATGCTTCGACTCTTGGCCGGTTTATGATGCTCTCCAGTTCTTCAATTCGCAGTTTCAGTTTTGCTATCTGCTCTCTATAAATGAAATCAAATCTTTTATAGCTTTCAATTTGTTGCTGACCTAGCGTTTAATGTTTCTTGAACTAATTGATTAACTCTTACGGCATGTTTTCGTTCCATAAGCTTTTTTTCTTTCTCAAAATCTTCCCTGGCTTCTCGTTCATGTTGCATCAAACGGCTACTGTCTGATAAATGGCCTTTAACTTCATGAACGTTTTCGATCTAAAAATAAATTGATATATAATACTTCAGTAAGGAAAAAAGATCAACCTCCTTCAACTTTTCTCGAAGTTCTGACAGATGTCGATTCTTCTCCTCAACTTCATTCTTAGCACTCCGTAACTCCTTTTTTAATTCAGCCATTTCCTGTAAAACGAAATTGCCATTAGGAAAAAAGAAGAAGCAATTACTTTATTTCTTCTTTGAGTTGGAGTAAGATATACACCTAATTCAGGATTATGATGACCATGGTTGCAACCTCGTTTTTGGCAATGAGGTACAAACCTGAACAAAAATAATAAGAAAACTAAAGAAAACATTCACCTAGTATCTTTCCCTGTCCACCATCTACCTACAACGGAAGACGATGCACTACCCGTAGAGCTTGTTATGCTTATAGCATCATCTCGTTGATCTTCATCTATAACCTCGACTAATTAACAGTTATTTTCAGTGAACTTACAATTTATTTCTTCTTCAATTTCCATAGGAACTGAGCATACTTGAGACAGCCTGTCCGATTCAATGGCAGTTGCGTCTTCTGAATCCTCTTCTGAGTCTAGGATAGCTGTTTGCCTGTAAAACGGTATAATAGTTGTGGCTCTTGTACGACCACTCACCTCACGTCTTCCCCTTCTACTGAACGACTCCTAGGGCCTGCCCCGAGATCTTTCATCACTTGTTCCGAATCGGTATTATTCTCATCACTTGTGTCGCCAAATATAGCAACTGAAAAATTATATATCAATATAAATAGAATTTTGAACTACCTGCATTTTTCTCCCACCAAGTGACTGAGAGTTTCGGAATTCTAGTGCTAGGTTTATCGGGGAAACGATCTGGAGATGGACGAAATGGAGTCACAACAGGCACCTGTAAAATAAACAATGGAAAAGAATAATTTAGTATGAAGATATTGTTAACGATGCGGATCAAACATGCGTCTTTTTTTTAGATTTTTTAAATTTTTTCCCGCTCACGTGATCTATGTTAATTACATGCGTCGCGTGAAAAATGCTAGTTAATTCGAACACTAAAGTTTGGATAGAATGATGAAAAACTGACGGAATCTCTGCTTTCATTAGGTGTCCTTAATGACGATCTTTTCAAAATTCCTTTTTTGGGGATCGCTTCGGTTAAACTGACAGAGCTGGAAATATTTGAATGAAAAATATAAGCATGCAGTTATCCTTACCGTTGAGTTTGTCCTATATAATAATATTGTTGTTGAGCCGTTGATGTACCAGGCTGAGGCTCGTCACCCGAAGTTTCATTTATCATTCTATAAATGACTTTACTTTAAAAAAAAGCGTAATGCAATCATTCGAAAAGAAATAAAAAAAGAATATAAACTTCAAATTTCAAACAGGATCAGCCAAGATAGAGACGAACGTTTGAATAAGCATGATATATAGATGTTAAGATATTTAAGACAGCAGAAAGTACAAAAGAATAGGTTTTGTTTTGGTGATAAAAGGAAGTTAATAGGAAGTATGGCTTATTTCATACATAGATAAGTAAATATTCACTGAATGAGAGAATTATGGGATAAACTTGAAAGGAGTGAAAAGATGTGAAACGGTTGGGACGGATGAATAAATAAAAAAGGAGGCAAAAAAACAAAAAATCAATAAAAACACGATTTCACTTGACATGTAAAGGCATTGAATGGATAAAAAGAAAGAAATAATGAAAAGAGCTCTTAATATCGGTGCAGAGGACATGGAACCGGTCGACCAACTAGCTAATCAATATGAGAACAACGGAAAAATAAATAAAAATTAGTTCTATATTTGGTAAAAAAGCTAAAACAATATTTGGAAATTTGTTCAAATGTTCTGGAAAGTAATCAAATAAAGCTTATCTTCTCGATAATAATTATCGATAACAGGGCATATATGGAGTTTAGGGGGTGAAAAAACCACTCCAAATGTCTGAAGAAGCAATTCTGCAAGAGAAATACTTTTATCCGAATGGAAGAAGAAGAAGAAACATCATAAAAGGAAATGAGATTCGGAGAAAAGAAAAAATAACACAACTGAATGCCAAATACAACCGCTCTACGATCAAATGAGCTTAAAATAAAAGCTCACGTGAAACGTGTAGTAAATATTAGAAGTGCATTTAGGAAATCTTAAGGAACATGAGTAAGTCTGGATTGAAAACAAGATTATTGACCATTTTGAAAAAAAACGTGGTTATTCTGATCGATAATAACATGAAACACTGGAGTTGATTTCAATAGAAAAGCTATTTTGGTCTCGGCTGTCACGTAGTCAATACAAGCAATATGCCATAGAAAGACAACCTTCTGTCATGAGGTGAATATAGAAAAAGAAGAGAACCAGAGAGAGATCGGAGAGAGTGTAGGAAATATGGTGAGAAGGAAGAGATGAAGGTAAGAAAAATAAGAGAGAGAAAGGAAAAGAGGGAGAAGCGAAAGAGTAGGGATGAGAGGCTTCACGGTTTTTCCGTTTTTTTTTTCCGAGAAAAATATGATACACTTGTTCACCGCATGAAGAGAAAATGAAAAAAATGAAGGAAACTTTTTCGTACCAAAAATGTTCTCAACATGTTGATGCGGATAACACCACGACACTAGTACGAAAATGAGAAATGTGAGAGCGTTGAACGGAGACAGATGCATATCCGAGGTTCATCCGGACATTCCGTGCTGTCTCTTTCTGTAGATTTAAGAGCCAAATGGCAACTAATCAAAGAAATACAAAACTGCACGTCCGTCTGTTTTGCGATAAATGTAGGAGAATGAAAATAGTTTCAGAGGAGATGTCAAAGAGACGACCAACATGAAAAACATTTGGGTTGGATTGCTTCAAAGAATTGTGGGGGAGAATAATTTTGGACGCAAAGAGGAGCAGTAAGTTGTATACAAAATGGAAATAAACAAACTGCACTGTTATTAATCTCTTGCATGAAACTACTTAATGCAAAATTGTTAGTTTAATATAGGACAGCCGTTATGTTTCGATAATATTATTCAAACATCAGACGGGGAACCTCTCGTAGCACAAGGAATGGAGTAGAAAATCAAAACAAATTTTTTAGATCCGTTTTTTCAAGATCGATATTGTTCAACCTAATGATCAATACTTTTCAAATAATTAACTTTCAACCTCTATGGAGATTCAACATCGAATGCTTGAGCTACTGAATTAGCTAGACAGAACATGAAAAATAGGGTAAACTTGGCTAACAGAACGCCAATTAAAACTAAACTGATGACATATTCGCGGTTTGCTTTATGATCCATACAACTCAGTAATAAGCGAAGAACATTCAGAGCATAGGCCAGTTTGAGAAAAGTTGGCTGAAGGCAAGTTGAGAACGGAAGAGAGAAAAGGAAAATTGTGAGAGAGAAAGGGAGAACGAGATTGAGCAATAGAGCTGCTCAGGATCCAAAAGTTGATAATACTTCATCGTCCTGGCTGTAGCATCTCTACACTTCCTCGGCTGCTCATAGCCTATGATGTGATCGCAACTGCAGCAGTCGTAACAGGATGAGAGAAGAAGAGATAAATGTGTATAAGAGAAAAGAAGAAAAAGAGAGAGAGAGAGGGGAGAGAGAGAGAAGAAGAAGAGAAATGCGCGAAATAGAAAAGGGATAAAGGTTGATGAGAGATGAAGGAGTGTGGGTTGGCAGAACTCGACTGTTCATGAATATGACATCTAGCTTATCTAAACAGGTAATGATAGAGATAGCAAAGAGAACATCTCGGAAAGTCCAAAGATTTGATGGTCAAAGGGAACTTCTGAAAAACAAATATATACTTAAAACTAATAACTTTCGTCCTGAAGATAGAACGATGATTACCAATGTGATATTAGCATTTGAAAAATGCTGTGAACTTGCTAGTTGTCGGTTCCAAAAAGTACCGAGTTCAAGGCAGTAGAAACAAGGAAAGAATGTGAAGTTTCTATATTGGTCAAGCCTAACAGATTCCAGTAACAACCGTGAAAACTATGGATTGGAATGGGGCAGTGTAAAGCTTCGCGATTATGGAGACCATCTTGTTCATAACAAAAGCTACAGGGTAGAAAAACAAAAGTTTCATAAACTTGTTCTTCTCGCGCAGGGTGAAATCCAGTTTGGAGTACATCGAGGAAAAAACAAGAGATACGGAAGAGAACTAAAGAAAGAGCAAAACAAGCGAGTATAATTTGAAAGTTAATTATACGGGCTAAAGCGATTCTACAAATTAGGTCACACCACAACAGCAGTTGATCAAAATCACCAGCTTTCATGTTGTAAAGAAAATATGAAACATCAAAACAGTGACTATTCCAAGTATCAGATAAGGGAAGAAGTAAGGATTGCCTGTCTCGCTTCTGAATCTCAAACCACTTGGTAGTAACAGAGCTATCACTTTTGGTTTAGTGACCCTTTGAAAAACCGTTACGATCAAGAGTCACATTTACACATCTGTTAAACGCTTCCCGCAAGATCTCTTTCCTTCATTATTTCTTGCTCACTTTAATCTTCTCTTTCAATTTTGTTAAGTGATGAAGTACTCGGCCGGTTCAGTGTTCCCCCACCTGCCTCTACTGCGGTTCATCAGCATCTCTCAGCTTCAACATTATAAACTAGAGAAACAGCAAATAAAAAACACAGAAATGTATTGGTCGACTAGAGCTTGTCCGAAATCCGACTATTGCCCACTATGTGTCATATTATACAGCTCATAAGAGGAGCAACTGTTCCCAAACTAGAAACATTCTCTTCACTACAACTATTACGAAATCTCAACAATGTCCGAGAATGACCAGGAAAAACAAAGTTTTGAGATAAATTTTGATAAATCCAATTTCAGAACAAACTCTTAATTTTCTTTAACACGTACAGGACGATTTCCTTAGGATATAGCTTTATAAGAGGAGCGATAGCAGAAGGCGCAAATGGGCTTCACTCACTATTTCCACTACTCTTAAGTTTCCTCAAGATTCACTGCGACAGAGACACACTCCATATCTGAACACGAACACAATTTAAATAAAATTCGAGAGCGATGTGAATTTCTTGAAAAATACTTACGGACATGTACTAGTAAACACAAATGACAACGATAGTTTTTCTACGCCCAGTCAAGAGTTATGAACAAATTAAAACGAAACGAGGATTGAAGAAGTTTAATTTAGTTCAATATGGCGAATATCAAGAGACAAAGCTGCAAGAAGAATCCGTCTTTGCTCGAGATAAGAAAAATGGAGCGGAA